CAGGCCGAGCTGCTGAAGAAGGAGGAGGACAGGCGCAAGGCCCAACTCCGAGCTGCCCACGCTATCACCAGGGGCTTGGAGAGGGAGAAGTTCCAGCTCTTGAAGGAGAAGGACGACATGCTCCAGGCGCTTGAAGCGAAGGATAAGGAGTTGGAGCATGCGACTGCCGAGCTGGAGACGGCGAAGGAGCGCCTCAGCAATGGAGTCCTGCTGGAGGAATCGTTTAGGCAACATCCTGACTTCGATGGATTTGCCAAAGACTTTTCTGACGCGGGCTTCAAGTTCCTCATGAAGGGCATTGCTTCCGACATGCCCGACCTTCAGATCGATCTCAGCGGTCTGAAAAGGAGGTATGCCGAGAAGTGGGCGTCTGGGCCTGGCGGCACCCCTGGCCCCCAAGCGTTGGTGGATCAGTATGTCAGGGATCTGGACTCTGACTACTCCGATCTCGAACAGGACCAGGTCGGCTCCACTCAGGAGGGCGCTCCCCCAGCAGGCTCTTAGGCGACCACCCTTCACGAGGCCTTTCGCTGTTCTCCCTCCCTTTTCTTTTTTGTTTGTAAGTGTCAGGGCAGAGCTGCAAGGTCTATAAGCCTTGGCTCTGCTCTTCATTCAATAAAGAGACTCCCATTTGCTTCTACTTTGTTGTTAGCAACCTCTTTTCTTCGCCCTTCCTTTGCACTGCAGCTAATGTCACCTCGCACCTCTTACTTTTGAGGTCGCGCCTTTAATTAACATAATTGGAAAGTTTGAGTTTGAATCTCTTGATGTTCAATACATTGCACCAACTCTGGATTTTTAACATTTCAYCCTTAACTTAAAAAGGTAAAAARGCTAAAATCCTAAGCCCGTAGCTATTCCTCATATCGTTCCTCGTACCCCCAAGTTCGGAGGCTTGATCATTTTGAACTTTCCACATCGCCCCCTTTGCCTTGAAGGTTTGAATTTTAAGTTCGTCAGTGGTTTTGGCATCGCACCTCGTACCCTTAGGCTTCGAAGGATTGAATTTGAACCAACTGCTGGAATGCGATCGCGTGGGAGTCCGTGAGGTTTTGGCATCGCACCTCGTACCCTTAGGCTTCGAAGGATTGAATTTGAACCAACTGCTGGAATGCGATCGCGTGGGAGTCCGTGGCCCCCATTTAATTTTTTGTCGAACTCGGAAGCATGAAATTAAATCATCACATTTATTCCGATCATAATTCTGTTGGAACAGTCTTTACAGATGCATTGAAAATCCTTTTGTATTTCAAGGATAATAACGCTTCAGGTGCTCCGCGTTCCACGGGTGCGCGAGGACGTCTCCTTTCAGATCGGCCAATATGTACGTCCCAGGTCGGACTATGCCCTTGATCTCAAACGGGCCCTCCCAGGCCGGATCAAGGGCACCCACATGCGTTTGGACCCTCCTTAAGACCAGATGTCCGACCTGAAAGGCCCGAGGTCGAACGCGGGCATTGTAATGTCTGGCCATTCTGCTCTGATATTCCGCCAGGCGTAGCTGGGCCATTGCTCTTCTTTCTTCCAACAAATCGAGGTTGAGGAGCAGCTTATCCTTATTCGTCGTAGGCTCGTAATGCTCTACTCTGTCAAATGGCATGCCGATCTCAACCGGGACTACAGCTTCGGAGCCGAAGGCCAGGGAGAACGGGGTCTCGCCCGTCGACTCTCGTTGGGTGGTCCGGTACGACCACAGAACCTCTGGTAGCTCCTCGGCCCACCTGCCTT